ATAATTCTTGTACTTCGCCTACAGTAAGAGTCTCTTCTATCCGTACGTATCGCCGCTTGCGGCTTTTACGCTTATTTAACTTGTCAAGAGCTGCTTAAAGCGTACCCATTTCCTCTATCATAAGCGTCATTTTATATGCCATTTGCTAGGCCCCCTTACTTAGCTGCGCGATCTACTTAGTAAGTAAATTGGCAGAAGATCCACGGCGTTTTCTCACGCTCTCTTAAATAAGACTAATTTAAGACTCAACTTCGCGCGCGTTGCGTGGTGTCTGCGCCTGCCAGGCAGCTACCCGTTGTGGTAATTGACGAGGTGTCTGCACCACTACATCAAGCTTAGATAGCACAGCCTGTAGGTCGTGTGGGACTAGACCAGCACCTCTAAAGCCAGCTTGGATATTCTCCTTCGTGATAGACTGCTCAAAAGCAGCCTTAAAGGCTAGTAGGAAGGTTTCTTTGCTAATATAGTGGGTGCGGTTGCGTGCCAAGCCTAAAACAGCGTCGCTATACTTGCGCTTCAACGGCGAGAAGCAGGCGACGTCAAGGGGCTACAACAAGTGAGACGAGTGTGGAGGCATGCAGAGAAGAATAATATTCTTCTCCTTACAAAGATCTTGAAAATCGATAGAGCAGTAGCTCTCATGGCCGTCAATAATAAGCAGTTAATACCCACCTACAGTATGCCTCTTTATATAGGTATCAAAGTGCTCTAACTAGGCAAGACCAAGCTAATTATTCGTCTAGCCATTAGCACTAACTTTAAGAACCTAGTTAGCAGGCAAATCCTTAAACTAGACGTTAATAAGCACCTTGCCCGCAAAGATAACAAAGGATGGTATCTGGCGACCCGACGCGCCCACGCCTTAGATCACAGTAACCCACTCACGGTTGCCTAGCTGTATCTGCTTCTTTTTCCTATATCCTTCTAATGCTATAATTAATAACTATAATAAAATCTTGCCTATTATAAAGCCAGTTTTGTTAAAGTTGTAGATATCGTCGTCCATAATACCCCACTTCTGCTTTGTCGCCTGGACTAAGTCGAACTAGCGCTGGATAGCCACTAGGTCCTCGCAGGCGGCTCGCTGGTGATTATAGGGACAGCTCCAGCGCGTACGGAGCTCAGCAGTCCGCCTAACAAAGTTGTCAACCCAGTTCTTGCTAACAGGGTTGCCACCACGCTCCTCTAACAGTTTATCAGCTATTGCTCGAACCTCAGCCTTTGTAGGCGCAAATCCTCGCGCAGACTCTTCAAGAATACGCCTAACAATAGCCTCCTCTTCTAGCTTATTCAAGCGCTTTGAATTTGGTTCGCAGTCGCGTCGAGAGTGTCTTCCAGCGCGTTGGTAAAATAAAGTTATTCGAGGGACGCTATAGATCTTAGCAGCACGTTTAACACTCTTTACACGTTAGGAATTAATATTAGAAATAGTAAGTTGGATATTAGCTTTAGAAAAAGTTTGTTGAATCTAATGTGGTTAAGACATAACGCGTTGTAGTATGAACGTCGACGCGCTGGTGGGGAGGTGTCCGCTCGCTTGGGGTGTCCGCTCGCTTATGAACCACGTTATTATAAATAGCTGAGTAGTGAAAGTAGCTAAAATAAGTACTTAGAGGCCTATTTTAAAGCTCTATTATAAGGCCTTTATAAGTAAGGCTATACGTAAGTAGTAGTTAAAAAATTAAGTAGGCGGCTAAGTAAGTAGGGTAAGTAGCTAAGTAGTATAGTAGTAGTAGAAGCTAGTAACTTAGCTAGTAGCCTAGCTAGTAGCCTAGCAAAGCTATATAAGGCTACTAGAACAGCTATAGAGTAGCTATCTTAGCTAAAACTTAGTAGTATAGCTAAGCTTAGTAGTAGTAATTAAGTGCTAAAAGCTATAGTAAAGGTAGTATAGTAAGCTACTTTAGTAGCTAAGCTTAAGTTGCTATTTAGGCTGGTAGAGTAGCTAAGCTTAGTAGTAGTAATTAAGTGCTAAAAGCTATAGTAAAGGTAGTATAGTAAGCTACTTTAGTAGCTAAGCGTAAGTTGCTATTTAGGCTAGTAGAGTAGCTAGTAGAGTTACTAAATTATTAGCATTTATATACTTAAAAAAGCTAAGCTTATACTACTAGCTTAAGCTTTTTTTATATAGTTTTTTTTACTTATTTTTACTATGAAGTTAGTATAAGCTTGAGAGGCGTTTAAGTAACTTTAACTTTTAAAGCTTAAAATCAATTAATTTACTAATATAAAAAAAAGTCTAATAGCTAAAGCACTTTGAAGTTACAGTTAAGCTTAGTAAAAAAGTACTAGTAAGGTATTTTAAGTAATAGCTTATACTATTTAGTATAAGCTAAAAGCTAAAAGCTGATTTTTATATCTTTACTACCTCTACTCAGGCTACTATAAGCTATTTTATAGTTTCTTCGAGCGCGTAATAAGTTATTTAAAAACTTATTATACTAAAGATATAATCTTAGGTATTATAATAAATTCTAGTATCACTTTAGGCGTTAGTAAGAATATTAACTTTATAATAGAAGATATAAAAGTCTTATAGCTACTAAGAAATTATAAATATATTAATACTAAAGCTTTAGATGTATTAGTTGATAATATAGTAAGCGCCTTTAGCTTTACTAGTAGTAGTAAGGCTAAAGTAGGTATAGCAATTAATATAATAACTTACTAGTTTATAGTAGTAATCATTAAGCTAGTACTACTTTAGGTATAATTTTATAGTGCTTAATCACTACTTATAAGCTACTAAGTTAGTATCATAATTAGCTTTTAATAGTAAGTTAAAAAGCTTCAAATAAAGCTTAAAGAAGTTATCTATGACTTAGTAATTAACTTATATTGTACTTACTTAATTATAAATAAATTTAGTCAATAGCTTAAGCTATAAGTAACTTATAAAGTCCTTATTAAAATACTACTAATAAACAATAACTATAAGCTTATTAAACACTTTTTTAAAAGTATTAAGAAAGGCTTAATCTTAATTACTTAACTAGATATATATAGTAATCTTTCTATTTTAAATAAGTTCTTAAGGTAGTATAGTACCTAGCTAAATAAGGCCTTATCTTAAGTATGATCAAGTGTAACGCCTAAGTGTATCATATAATTATACTTATTTAAATTAACTAAATTAAGTCAACAATAGTTATATTTATTTATCTTGTTTATATAATTAATAATAAGTATATCTAGCAACTTTTTAAAAGTTTTAAAGTAGCGTAAGTAGATAAAAGTAAGGTAAGTAATATAGTTCTTAGTATTAACACTATGCTTGGAGATACGTTAGAGAATTTTAGTATTTTTGGAAAATAGCGCTAGTAAGCTAGCGTAATAATCTTAACTAATTAAATAATTATTATTAGCTATTTAGATATTTATACACTAGAAGAAACTTGAAAACTAAAGAACTATTAAGATAGTTACTTACTAAAACTAATACTTATCTTACTTTATTTTCTTTAATAATAAGTGTTATGGGCGAGAGAGGCCTAACTAACGAGTATGCATTCACCTATTGTACAGAAGAAGAAAGATACAGAAAAGAACTATCTAGAGGGCCCTCCTTTTATAGTTGTTACTCGTACGAACGCTCAGACCTTTAGTCTTCCTCCTTACTTAAGCTTGTTCGTACGTAACTAACCACGTCATTTAGTCACGTGACTAAAGTCATGTGATTCACTGCCATGTGACCTGTAGGTCATGCCTCTCTGGCGTAGCCCTTTACAATAAGCTTATATAAGTATTTAGCCTTAGTTTCTAATAGTAGCATACTATAAAATAGTTTTTAATATCTTACAATATTATAAAAACCTTTAAAAACTACTTATATAGTATTTTTATAGCATAATTTAGGCCTTATAATATAGCTTAATTGAACTTTAGCTTTTGAGCTAGCGCTACTACTAGCGCCTCTTAATAATCTCTTATAAAAGCTTAAATATTCTTTACTAGTAAATAGTTATAAAAAAACTTTTTTTTCTATTTATTTTATTCTTTACTAACTTTCTTAATAAAAATAGTGTTCTATTGAAATTCAAAAACTTATTTCATAGCTTATTTTCTATAATATTATACTAGCTTATATACTTAGTATAGCACTATTGTTAAGCTTTTTAGCTTTACTTAAGTAGCTATATACTATAAAAAGTTAGATTTTATTTTTACTTTTTTTACTTTTTTTAATTATATAAAACGCTATATTTTTTTCTTCATATTTTAGCTATAGCTTTTACTTTTATAAGGCTATTATATAGTACTTTTAGTAGTAAAGTATACTCTTGAGCGCGTATTAAAGCCTTTTATAAGTTACTAAGATTATAGTTTATAATACTATAAAGCTTACTATAAGCTTTATAATAAGGCTTATACTTATCAACTAGCTAAGTATACTAAAGTAAAAAAAATATTACTAGTAATAGCTTTATAAGCTAGAGCTAAAATAGCTTCTAAAGCTATAAGCTTATTAAGCTTATGAAAATCACTTTATCTACGAAAGCTATTAGAAATAATATTAGAGCCTTTCTAAATAGATATATCTTGACTAAAGTTCAACTTAATTATATAGTAATTTAGCTATTTAGTAGTCTTAATAATATAAGTAGTATTATAGCTTAAAAGTAATATAGTCATTAAGTAATATTAATAATATTTTAATAATTTATATCTATTTTATAGTAATAGTATAAGTGCCTTAAAGGCTACTAGCTTACTTATAATAAGAATACTAAGCTTTTATACTAAATAATTATTATTTAGTTACTAAGTTAGTTATAATATTTAGTGCTAAGTTACTATATTATAGTGCTAACTCTATATAGTTTAGATGCACCTACACTAATGCAGACCCCTACTAAGTAGTAGGCCAGATAGCCGCTTAGTGGTAGGACGAATAACTTTTGCCTGATGTTTGGCGTCATCCTCCCTCTTCCGGTTAGCGGCCGCCCAAGCGACGTCAGCACCAAAAAACCCCAGCGTTGATCCAGCCTCACAACACCGCCATGGCGACCGCGACTAGAAAATCCGAAAACTCACAGATCGTCAAGGTAGAGCCGCTAGAAAACAAGGATGCAAAGTGGGCAAAGTTTGTAAGGTAGCTAAAACATTGCCGTGGCTGATCACCATAAACGTGTGTAGCACCTTTAAATTGACCTCCTGCAGGACTACCTATACTGACCCCAAGGGTGTCGAACGTACTTGGGAGTCTGGTGAGCGTCTCACGAGACCCCAGGGTACAGACATCGATGGGGTTGGTGTTGCCGCTATTCTCAACGACCCTGCAAAACCTGATGATGACCCACGCATTGTTCTGCAAAAGCAATGGCGCCCGCCAGTCAATGCCACTGTCATTGAAATCCCTGCCGGATTAATGGACCCAGACGAAAGCCCAGAAGAATGTGCTCTTCGTGAGCTGAGAGAAGAGACGGGTTATGTTGGCGAGCTCGTGGCAGATCAGAGCGTAAGCTATGTCCTGCGCGAAACCACGGCGAGATATGCTGACTTTCTACTTTGATGGATAGTTCCAGGTCAGTCCCATCATGTTCAATGGTAAGTCATATCTCTCTAGCGTGCAGACGATCCTTGTCATGACTCAACATGGCCCTGATTTGAAACCACACAGACCCAGGCTTCTGCAATACAAACCTGAGAATGGTACACGTCATTGTCGACCTCTCTCGCCCGGAAAACCGCAACCCCCAGCCAAATCTTGAGGAGAATGAATTCATTGAAACGTTTTCGGTTCCGCTCAAGGATCTCTGGAATGAGTGTATTGAGTTTGAGAAACAGGGCTACGCAATAGATGCGAGAGTCGGCACACTTGCTGAAGGCATAGAGTTTGTAAAGAGATGGAGGCTTACCTAATCCACTTGGGAGTCATAAACGGACCTGTCTTACTGAGGGTCTATACGTGTATCCGCGATATATACCAAGACTGTACGTACTTGATGCATCCGTGCGTCTTACATGTGTAGACTAGAATCTCGTATTGCCCCCCACGCTTACTCTCTAACCCCCATGGCTCATTTCTTTCACCCACGTGGAGTTGTGCTCACTAGGCGGATAAAGGAATTATGGATTTTATGCACGCGAGGATTTGGGTTGTCTACTTATGAAGCAAGGCAGAGAGTAGAGTAGAGTAAAACGGAACATGACAGAGTATGGATAAGATGAGGAGATTAGATACGGATAAAATAATTCCAAGACGAAATGGATATTGATAGACGGAAAAACTTTTGTCGAACTTGGTGGCAGTAATGCCCCATCTCCTTCCAAGGCCAGGTCCAGTGGTAAATTCAAAGCACAACACATATCACAAACATCAGTGTCCCTCTTCCTGTAAAGGAGCTACTTCCCTCTTCCATACCGAAAATCCATATAAGCCCATCGTCCAGTGTACCTGACACACATACCCGAGCAGTCATGCAGCCACAACGCCACTTCAAGTCGTAGTATGCGCAACCACCACTGACTCACCCTCGGATCCAGATACAGTTTTGATAGAGAAACTCGCATCCCGCGGCAGGCGCGCATCCGAGAGAACACATGTTCTCAGGTCGCGTGTGGCGCGCGACATGCAAAAAAGTGTAGCGACTGCAGTGTGGCTTGGCGATTCATGGTGGTTGAACACGACGGTGGCTGCTTCTGATTCATGAGTCGATGGTGGCGTGATCAATACTCTGTGGATATGTATGGTAATGGCTAAAGTGCAAGTTTTACTCGGTGTTGTGGGAAAAATTGTTTGAGGGTTGATGATTGAGAGAGAGAGAGAGAGTGTGTGTGTGTGGAGTTGTACGGGGTTTCCGGTACGCATAATTTCAATTAAGAGAACTTTGTTTTGGGTTCGCGACTACTCATGGACGTGATAGATACCAGGAATACGTGACTAGTGAAGACTTGGGTTGCAATAGATGGGTCGTACCGTCTTTCAAGAGGCTTACTGGATATGTGATACTGCGCTACGTATGTCATTTCTCTGTTCGATACGAAATACATGCCACTCAAACCGGTTATTTGAACAAGAAGACTTGTCCCAAAATGCTGAGCAAAGAGCTAAATTCCACTTTCATAAACTGCTGGGAACGCTACGACATCCAAAATATGTCATTCCAGAAAACTGCCTAGACATGGCCTTGAACAGTGACGCGCAATACACTATCCATTGAGTGGACTTTGCCCCACTGGATAGGCTTTATGAGCTGCAAAATGGTGAAAAGAGGTTTGTGTGCGTTGTGCAGCACGAACAGAATGGTGGTGATAGATTTCGACTTTTTATTATTATATACAAGTCCAAGGACCGGCAGCGATTAGAAAGTAAGTCCAGCCATGAGCTCGATCAACACGTACTTACGCGAACGGTATGTGTACCTGCTAAAAGAACTTTTTTGAAATATGAAAAAAAAACCCTATGTCGTTGGCTAACAACGTTCATCGTCATCGCGCAAACTCGGTCCAAACGTGCGCCAATGAAGATTTTGTTATTGCTTCCTTTTCCTTCATGAAATCCACATGATCTCCATGCTGGATATAAGATAGTTGTAGCGTATCCGCATCATCGGCTACCAGATAAGAGTCAGAGAATCATTCATGTACGAAAAGTGAACCCAATCCACGAGTTCATGCCCAGAACTTCCGGTTCACTGCGTCCTTGGAAGGATTGTGACTAACAGAGTCCCTCTAGAGCAGGATGACGTCTTGAGGCATCTCCCACATGACTTTGGGGTATTAGAAATAAGACTTCGAATTAACATACTTGTGCTATTGTACCGCCCTGACAAACACTGATCCAACCAACAGACACATGGGCCCAACCTATTGTTGAAAATTGAAATCAGTAAAGCATTACAAACTATGAACACTACAATACCCAAGGCGATTTCTTCAACACAAAATATCTAATCCAAATGTCATTCGCGCGTCCTGCATCCGTCATCACCAACCACTGATACATCGAAGACGTGACTGCCGACTGCCACCGCAGCCGAATAGTCGTTGTAAACACGCACAATATGTAGCCACCTTGCGAAGAAAAAAAAACAACCCCCAATTCCCGCTGGGCGTTTGAAAAAAAAAATAGACATTCTTTTGAGCCCTAGAAACACCACCGTTGACTCGCTTCCAACTGCACAGAATTATGCATTTATTTACGCTTGTATCTAATAATTTGCATATCATGCAGGCCACTCTCCTGCAATCGCTACATCCATCCATCATTCACATTTCTCGAGGGAGAAAAAAAACATAACAAATACAGTTGGCTAGGTTAGATGGATACCAAGACCACCACAACGGCATAATACACAATCGAAACTCATCGGCTGGCTCACAATCAATCACGCAGCACAGTTTCTCTCCCCGTCGAATTCAACAGCGCACATGAAAAAATCTCGCAAATAACGCGTTCATATATTCCAAAGCCGTGTGGTAAGGCAGTAACGCAGCGGGTGAGAGAGCGAGCGAGTGTTCCGTAATTGGAGCCATACACACATGTATTCATGGAGTGTGCTATTCTGACTGAACCTGGGGAATTCGCTGGATTTGACCACTATGATGTGATGTGATGTGATTGATAGATTGAGTACTTATGCATGCAAGACATTTTCTTCTCCTCTATTTTCAACATCCAACGACTACTTATCTATCTAGCCCTGGAAGCGAGACCAAACGCAGGAACGCTCTTAGAAAAAAAAAGGTTAACTTTAAAGCATAAAACCTACTGGTGTAAGCAGCTCCCCGAGCCGTTTCCATGGCTGGTTTTCCGCGCGCGCTAGTAAATGCAGTGTGTGTGATGGATGGCGTGCAGGAGACTGCTTCCGAGAAATGATGACATGCGGTTCGATTGGGTTGGTTGGTTGGGCGGCGGAGATGGATTTTAGTTAAGGTTTGCAGAGGGATGGGGGCGGGGCGAGTATGTGTATGATTAAGTTGACATCTATTTGCCCATCGATCTAGTCTGTCATCTTTCTTAATGTCTCAAAAAAAAACATGGACATTGTCAACTTGCACACTTTGCATGCTGCTAGACACCTATACAAAGCACACTAGGACTGTGTTGGGAAATCCACTGTGTTGAGAAATCTACTGTGTTGAGAAATCCACTGCGGTGAGAGATCCGCTGCATCAGCACGTCAAATCACTCGTAAAATACATGCTCAAACAAGGTGCTTTCGGGGCTGTGCTTTCACCCGACGATCGATACAGCCAACGCCGCGTCAACGCCAATCTGGTTATCGCGGCCCTGCCCTTCCGTGTCCCATCGGTAGGGTTGTTGCCGATCCCTTGCACATGCAGAGTAGATACATGTGCGTACTAATCTGCTACTAGTAACATGTCCTTACCACGGCCTGTCAGGAGCCCAGATCTCGCGCTAAACCCGAGCTACAGCGACGATCCGATTGTCGGTTGTACCTATTTGGCAGTAGTGGCATCGGGGAATTCTCCAATGTGGGGGGGGGGGGGGTCTCAACATGGTGAGTCTCCTAGTATGTATGTAGAAACACGAGGTATACGGTCGGTGCCTGGGTGGTGTGGTGTGGAGGCGTGTAAACCGTACACGCTCCAAGTCTGGCCAAGACGACATACGTACGATCGATAGCCGCTACAGCGCGTGGCTTGCATAAACTTTCGTATTTCACTGTGCGTGGAATTGTGGCCAACACAAGAAAGACCGAGGCTAGCGGAGTTCCGGATTTCTGACCAAGACGGGGACAACGGGAATGCAGAAACGCATATGGCTGTGTGTGAGTGTGTGTGTGAGTGAAACAACGCTACAGCGGAACGGCCGGAAAGATGTCAAAAACCCCCCGGGAGTCTTGGAAGCGGGTGAAGAGGATTGGATCAGGGATAGGCGCGGCTGACGATTGGAAGGGGAACGACGGGGGAGCGGTGGAAACTAGAGGAACGCGGGAAAAAGCGGGGTTGGAGATTGGAGATTGCAGATCGCATGCAGAAAGAAAAAAAACAGAGAGTCATGCGTTGGAGTCACAGGCGGCTGTGTTGGCAGCTATACTGGAAAGTTGCCCGGTTGTGGAGGTGGGGTGGCACATTTATCTGTTGGGCCTTAGCGATTTGGCTGGAACTTGCAAGTCTGGCGAATTCAACGAGGTGTTGTTGTTGTCCGCTGAGCAGCAGAGATATACGACGATAATGATGATCTGGGCCTATACGGAAATGGCGACTGAGTTACCAGAACAATTCACCGTACAGAGAGCGAATACAAGATCTTGAACTTTGACATAATACATACATTGCAACTTTTAAGGGTGATAATGATCTAATAATCTGTTCTACATATACATTTACGAAATTACAAATTCACGGACAGTGCTGGTCAGTCTAGCACGACGGGTATTTAATCTAGGGATGCATGGGGGAGCCCTTGGAGGAAGCCTTGGCGTCGGCGATGATGACATCGGAGGCCTTCTCAGACAACATGTAGGTGGGCAGAGCAATAAAAGTAGCCGGAATCTTTGCCCAGGACGAAGCATCAACGACACGAAGGCCCTCGACTCCACGGACCTTGAAGTTGGTGTCAAGGACAGCCTTTGGGTCGTCGTCGGCGCCAATGGCGCAAGTGCAAGAAGCGTGGTGACCCCAGGCCTGGTACTTGGCAAACTCCTTCCACTCGTCGTCGGTCTGAACTTGCGGGCCAGGCCAAATCTCCTTGAACTTTCCGTCAAGAGGAATCAGGTCCTCAAAGGCGCGACGACCGTACTTCAGGCCCTCAACGACAGCAGAGAGATCCTCATCGCCACCAACGGCAAAGTTGCGCGTGTTGATTATAGGCATATCCTGGGGATCAGCGCTGCGGAGAGTGACGGTACCGGCGTTGTTGCGAGACTCGGCCTTGAGCGTGAGCCAGGTCCAGTGGTTGCTGCCTTTGGTGGCGTTTTTGAAGAAGTCGAGATAGTAGCCGTTGAAGGCAGCGGGCCAGCCAGCAATGAGCAAATCAGCATTGCCGTGAATGCTGTTCTTAGCTTGCTTGGTAATGGCAAGCGCGACACCATTGGTAGCGTAGACAGCTTTGCCAATACCGAGGGGAAGATTGATCCACTTCTGCAGGCAGGCGTCGAAGCCGTCGAGGAACGTGCAGCCGTTGAGGAGAGCAATCGGGGTGGGAGCCTCACCAATGACGGGAACTTCGTAGCGGTCCTGGAGATTGGTACCGACACCAGGGAGGTCCACGATGACTGGAATGCCAAACTTTTCGAGCTCCTCCTTGGGACCAATACCAGAAAGCTTCAGGAGCTGGGGCGAATTGAAAGTACCAGCAGACAGAATAACCTCACGAGTAGCAGTAACAGCTCCCGGTTTGCCCTTGCCAGTGGCGGTTCCATTCTGGCGTCTAGGGTCTGCGCCGTAAAGGGACTGGCCGGTCACAAAGTTGACACCAGTGGCCTTGGGCTTGCCATCGGCAGTCTGGTTGAACCTCACACTGGTGACGAGGGTGTTGAGCTGGATGTCGAGATGGTACTTGCGGCTTCCGTCACCGTTCTTGGCATTCATGACCTGGCGAAGGAAGTCGACGGGTCCAGCACGCGTGTATGAGGGAATGTTCATGGAGAGAGGGACCTGCCACATGCCCTGGGCCGAATCGCGGTTAGGGCTGTCATTGTTGATGTCACGCATCAGGACCTGACCAAGACCAACAACAGTGCCCAAGAGAGAACTGAGCATCGTCTTGCCCATGGCACTGGCAGCCGAGAGGACAAGGGAGACGACCTTGAGATCCCCGGCAATCAAGCTCAAGTCAGTTAGCGACGTCTCGAGCCAACCATTGAATCCGTGGCCAGAAATGCTGCTGGGCAGGTAGCGGTTTCTTTCCAGGCGCTTAAAGTACTTGCGCATGTTGTCGGGCGCCCAGGAGTCGTCGCCTGTGATTTCGCGAAGGTATTCCCAGTCAGTGCGGAAAGGGTACGTCATGATAAGGGCGTTGTGGGCAGTGCAGCCACCCAGAGAACCGACACGTGGGTACAGAATGCCCAGAATTTTGGCGCCAGGTGGAGGGTTGACGCCAGTGTAACGAGAGCCATCAGGTAGTTCCCAGGTGAGTTTGGTGTCCCTCACCTGGTCTGCCTCGTCGTCAAAGTGCGAGACCCAGTAGTCCCATCTCATGGGCACGTACTCGGCGGCAACAGCGTGCAGAGCGGGGACTCTGTACTCGTATGTGTTTGTTTCATCGCCACCAGCCTCGATCAGGAGGACCTTGTAGCCCGCAAGAGCAAGGCGGGCAGCAAGGGGCGAGCCGCCAGCACCAGAGCCGACAATGACGTACTCATAGTCTGGCAGGGTGGTGGTGGTGTTGCTGTTGTAGGTGCTATAGGGCGAGTGCCGAGCGCCGTCACTGTTATTGCAGTCAGCATCTGGACCCAGGCGGGTGGACAAAGGGCCAAGCCATTGGAGCAAGCATACATGATTCGAGCATTGGTGAGAGAGTTGGATAATGAGAGAAGGGCCAGGGCCTTTAGGACAAGCATGGTTGCGGCAGTATGAATAAAGATTAAGTTGGAAACGAGTGACTAGAAACAAGAGAGCGAATGCACAACACTTTGGATAAAAAGCGTGTTAGAGAGTGGCAAAAGGAAGGACAGTCCCGTGAGCATTTATCACAAGCTGCGGTTCCGCGTCTTCCACTGCTATAGCGAGCGCCGGCAGTGGACATGGTCGATACCGTGATTAGGATCACCATGGAGCAGTCACCTCGGCGTCCATGGCTGCATGAACGAAGCCGTCCTGGGCTAAAACACGTTCAGCATTTCTTACAAAAGCCTAGCAGCTAGCGAGGAGCACGCACTAGTGCATTCCGGCGACATGGGTAAGATGCTCTCCACCTCGGGTTGCAATGACCCAGGAAAGTAAGGCTGCGAGTCAGAAGAGTCGAAAATTTCGTAGTGTTGAAATTGGAGAGGTGCTGCTAGACCGCTTTCTGTCTAGGCAAGGGAGCCGGGGGACCGCGCTTTCAACGTGCAAGCATTCGGCCCGCAGGTGTCCTTGGAGGGGATTGGAGGAGGGCAGGGGGGGTCTCACACTGGCGTCCAGCAGTGTGCGGGTGGGTGTGTAAGCGTGTGAGTGAGTGAATGAATGAATGAATGAGCGAGCGAGCGCAGCGGCACGTGAGAGGGGCCGAGAGGGAGGCCAAGGGCGAAGGGGCGGCGATGGGGGGAGTAGAAGAGGCGTGAGGTATGATGCATCCTGGCGTCCCGCGCATCGGGTGCGGTGAGAATGCCATTGCGGCGAGGGTGTGACGAGGTCGCGTCGAGCTGTGTTGTGTCGTGTCGTGTGGTTGCGGCAGAGGGAGCGTGATGGAGGGAGGTCCAAGTTGAGGAGGCTTGGGAGCCGCTAAGTAAGCGGGAAGGGCGCCGCGCGCTGATTGGTCCGCACAAAGGCCCGGCCCTCGTATGCGCCTTTCCCTTTCCCTCTCCCTCCCCCTCCCCCTCCCCCTCAGCCTCTGCCTCGTCCACTACCCGCTGCCGTCACCTCGCACATGCATCCACCTTGGCACCACGCCTCCTGTCTACATACACACACTTGCAGCACAGCACATACACACCGCCCGCCCGCCGCCCGCGCTGCCACCATGCCAGGCCATGTCCCCACCCCACCACGGCCCTCTGGCCTGGGAAGAGCTTCGCAAGCATCATGCTCCACTCTCTTGTCACCGGCTCTGCTGACCTGACCCGCCAGCCACACGGCTCTTCTTCCTCTGATCCTCAGGGGGAGAGCGGGTCCTCGACTGCCATAGCTCCTCGGGAACCAATTGCCCAAGGGCGCGTCGCATGCGGCAAGGCCCTGGCTGTGGGTGCAAAAGAGCGCAAGGCGGTTGCGGAGCCCTGGTTCCGCCCTCAATGCGACGCCATGTCAACGTCCCCTCCCCCCCCCCATTGCTCGGGCGCTCTTGCAACCCCGGCCTAGCAGCAATTCAGGCGGATCTACGACATCGGAGAATTGATGCTTGGCTCGCTCATAATCCGATCAAATGGAAAATTCCGTCGCAATCCCACGTCCACCGTACGGGATGTGCAGGTAACGCGCAGGATCATTACGATAGATACAAAGATTAATACCCATTGACCTCCACTACCTTTGTCTCCAGCGTAGTCTCAGCATTACGCCAGCCCGCCCGCTCGTTTGTTTTGCATTACTGCACTCGTTTGCTGCTCAGCCTCAACAAGCCCCTCTACGAGCGCCCCATCATGAGACTATCAAACGTGTTGGCATGCTTTGCCGCATTGACGACCGGCGTTCGCGCCCAGGGCGGACTCGAGAGCCTGGCAGAGAACATGCCCTCATGTGCGGTATGGCTATCATGTCCCGACTCAACCCGACCATGTCACTAATGTATACACTCACAGTTGATGTGTTTCATGCAAGCCATTCCCACATCGACGTGTGCAACCGACCTCACTTCGGAATGCTTGTGCTCCAACACGGCTCTGAATGCTGCCGTCGGCGCATGTGCCAAAAAGACATGTACCGTATACGAGCTTCTGCGTAAGACCAACTCCTAGCAGCCCCCCCCTGACGCCATATGTTCACACACTGACAAGACTGATAGAAACAAAGAATGTCAGTGCCAAGGGCTGCGGAGTACCTGAACGCTACAAAGGCCAGCGCTTCTTGATCGGTGGCATAATTGGATGCGCGCTGGCTGTTGCAGCCTTTATCCTGAGAATGGCCGCCAGTATCGGCAAGCAGGGCCGCAAGGTATCATGGGACGACGCGACCATGGCTGTTGTGCTTGCACTTGCCATTCCGCCCACCGTCTTCGCTCACTACCGTAAGAAGACATGCCCCGTGATGACGATAGACATAAGCTTACTCACGCCTATGCAGTAATCGAGAATGGCCTTGGTCGAGACATCTGGACATTGAACGCGCAACAAATCACCAATGTCCTCTTCTACTACTACGTGGGCGAGATCTTCTACGTGGTAGCCCTGGGCATCTCCAAGATCTCCATCCTCTTTTTCTACCTGCGCGTGTTTCCCGACAAGAAGTTCAAGATGCTCGTTTACAGCGTCATGGGTGCATCGGCCCTTTACACCGTCGCCTTCTTCATTGTAACGACGTTTCAATGCCGGCCTCTTAGCTTCGCTTGGAACCAGTGGGACGGACTCCACCAGGGCAGCTGCAACGATATTCACCTCCAGGGCTGGATCGCGGCCGCCATCAACATTGTCCTGGACGCGACCGTCATGGCGCTTCCGATGAAGCACCTGGCTGGGCTGAACATGGGCCTCAAGAAGAAGCTCATGGTCATGGCCATGTTTGGCGTTGGTATCTTTGTCGTTGTCGTGTCGGTTGTGCGGCTGTACTCGCTCATCCACTTTGCCAACACGCAGAACATTACGTGGAACTATGTGGACGCAGGCCTGTGGAGTTTAATCGAGATCGACGTGTCCATCATCTGCGGATGCATGCCTGCGCACCGATTCCTGATTGGTAAGCTGTGGCCGAAGATGCGCACGACGTTCCAGTCGAGCAAGGCGACATCGACCAAGCGCTCTGATTTCTCGGCCAACACGAATCTGTCGGCAACACCGAGCAAGCTGGCGCGTGTATCCATCAAAGGCATGACGGCCAAAGACGACAGCTTCATTCCCTTGTCTGACATTGACAGCGACAGTGACCGTGCCCATCTGACCAAAGAAGCACAAGCACATGCCGGAAGCGAGGCCAACACCTGGCCCACGCCGCCCACCGGGGCGCATACCAATCAAGGCAGTACTAGCACTACTACCGTGGGAGGAGGGCACTCTGGTGACCGACCACAAGATTGGAACTGGCCGACGACAGGGAAAGAGCATGTTTGAGGGTTTTTTTCCCCCCCTCTCGCACTCCTGTTCTTGTATTGGCTTGGTTGTGTTGGGCATTATTATGACGAATGCAGCGTTTTTTTTTACGAGGAACATCAAAATCACACATTATCTTTTGTAATTGGGACGATGCTTGAGAAAAGTAGTCAACCCTCAGTGGATGGGTGGATGTCTTTGGGTATTTTTCTTCTTCTTAATTTTTTCTTCTTCTTCTTTCTTTGTCGGGGGAGGTGTGATTCTTGCAGGGGAAACAAGGATTGTCACGGCACCACCACCCCGCTTTCTACTACAGGTATTGATTTTGTTCACTAGACCGCTCCTTGGAGTTGGAAGAGAGATGGGAAAAGCGGACTGAGATAGGACGATCTCTGGGGCAAGAGGAGGGTAGACGCGTCATGGGGCTTGTACAGTTTGCCAATTAGATAATGTTAAAAGTTTTGCACTTTTTCCCTATTCGTTTCCGGGGAAGCAGGTTTTGGCGAGCATTGATTTATGTGTGGCCCGCGACCAAGGGCTTGGGTGCAGGCTGACTTGCTAGGCAGCGCCTGACCCGGCTAGAAAGTTAGTTTGCAATGCAACTGTTGGGGCGTGTGGGTAATGTGGATGGATGGATGGATGGATGGATGGGTGGATGGGTGGAAGGAAGTGGGTGTGGATGAGGAGAATGCGTCAGCAAAGTGCCGTGCAGACGCTAACCGGCAAATGTGAGGGTGTCCATGTGCGTCAAAATGTGGGCCCGTTCGGGGCGTTGTCAACGTACGTTAGCTTGCCATGTGTAGCTGAACTAGCGCGCCCATGTACAGTAAGTAGGCAGTAGCTAAGCAACCGTGTCTACGTACAAGTACACAGTCCATGTGGGCTGTTGGCGCCCCAGAGAAAACAACGGGACAAGGGGAAAGCGTTGCATTTGCAAAGTGCCTTGGGCTGCTTTCTCATGGCTGTTCCCACACGGCACATGGTTGCTCGGTGGGTCGAGGCTAGTGGCAGCGCTATTCCCAAAGCGGATCCAGATCGTCGCGTCAGTTTCCCCATTGCCCGGCCGGGACGGTTGGCAGGCAAAAGGCATAGGGCAGGGAACATGTTGCTTGTCCAAGGCAGGGCGAGGCAGGGCGTGACAATCATGCTTTGCCAGACACACGCCGCACGGCACACGTGATTGTACGGCAAAAGTTGCCGACAGACGCTATCACCGAAGATAACAAGCAGAAGATGCATACATACATACATGCAAGCAAGCAAGATGAGCTCGGCGATAGGCGGCCATGCAAGCAATGAAACAATAAGGGGTCCTGGCTAGTTTTCTGGAAAATTACCGCTCGTGGATCACCGAGCCCATCTGGCTCGGTCGTCTGGATTGACGAGTGTATTATGTATGTAAGTATGGATGCATGTATGGATGCATGTGTGTATCGATGTAGGTAGTATGGACATGCAAGTAGTACTTAGTCAACGGCATTGAGCCCCCCTCAGTCCGCGGAATACCTAGATGGGAAGCAGGCCAGGCAACGGACAGCCACTTGGCGGGCTGGCGGAGGCATTTGAGGCTCCACCCCTTTGGCGCAGGCCCTTTTTTCGGAAATCTGGGGGGCGATCTTGTTTCATATCCGGCACCCGAGCGTCGCGAGCCGCCATGCTGCAAACAGCCTAGCGCATATCCTGCCTGGGACTAGCGCGGCGCTCCATCCAGGTACGGGTTCGGTGGGGACTTGGCGCTAGTGCGCTAGCGCGGCTGTCCAACGGGCCGTTTCTTGCTGTTGGTTCCTTGTGCCTGGCCGGTTCGGATGCATGCACGAGTCATGTGACCCGTGCCTCTTCCCTGCCCTTCACCTCCTCCCCTCCCTCCCTCTCACTCTCCCTCTCACTCTCACTCACTCTCTCTCGCTCTCTCTCTCGCTTCCAATCTCCCTCTGCCCCTCCTCACCCCACCCCGATTAAAAAAAAACGGAGCCTGGGGCTATTCTTTCCCCCTTTGCGGCGCATCCCCGTAAACGAAATTCGCCTTGTCCTGTGTCTTCATGCAAGTATAGCCGACCCGGGCGCCCGCCGCTCGTTTGAACTTCGGCCTTCGTGTTCAGCGAATTGGGAGCGGGGACCTTGGTAGATCACCTATTGTTCCTTTCCCATGTCCTCCTCCCTGTGTCTCCGCCCCGTGTCTCCTCCCCTAAGGTTCGGTCCACACCGTAAACGGTCGACAACGGCCCGCGTGTGCCACTGTCACCTTGCAACGTCACTGTCAGCCCTCTTTGGGAGCATCCCTTTTTTCCCAATACCTGTCCCACGGTGCGGAAATGAAGATGTTCGTTGATGTAATCTCTTCCTCGTCAGCCATGCCCACGCCCTGGATAACGTTGCGGCGCAGGCTCCCGGCATACAAGAGACGCTACCTGATTGGGCTCGGGGAAGCTGGGTGGCTGACTCTTTTCAGATTGACTTTAGTGTTAAGCTTTCTCCTCGTGCTATTCGTGCCCGCTGACGTCCTGCTCAGTAATGCTCCATCGCTCAGTGGAAGCTGTCGGATGTGACATCTTACACGCATCCATACACACGACACTCTCTTAACCACCACGTCACTTTTTTCCTTTCCCACTCATTGTATCATCCATCTGATGCACTAATTATCCCATTGCTCGTCCAACTGCTAGTCGTTCGTTCGTTGATCCTTCCACCATGAAACTCTCCCTCGCCCTCGCCGCCCTATCGCTGGGCCGCAGCTTCGTCGATGCCTTTCCTTCGTTCCACAACGCCCGCAATCTCGACGGTCTGACGCCCGAGCAACTGCGCGCCGCCGTCCGCTCCGTCCACGACTACCAAAAGACCAAGCGCCTCGTCGTCGACTTCACCCAGCCCATCGACATCACGGGTAAACATGCCTTTGCCGAAGCTCGTGCTACTGACATGCGCGGCCCTTGCCCGGGTCTTAACGCGCTGGCCAACCATGGCTATATTTCTCGCAATGGCATCACCAGTTTTGCCGAAGTCGTGACTGCCATTAACCAAGGTGCGTCTATCAATCCATCCATCACACATACTACCATTGTGTAAAACCTTGGGCGATATAAGCAGCCATGTTTTATGTTCTGACATAGTATGAATTCTAGTCCTGGGCATGGGCCTGGAACTCGCCCTCATCCTGGGCGTAATGGGCACCGTATGGACAGGCAACCCGCTGTCAGCGAACCCCGGATTCTCCATTGGTGCGCCACCAACTGGCGGTGCCGGGCAAAACATTTTGGGCAATCTTGGCGGTCTACTGGGTATGTATCTTCAACACCCCAACTTGCATCTTGTAGCACGTGACGCTCATGCCGTCATGACATGTAGGCAAACCACGAGGACTGTCGGGATCCCACAACTGGATCGAGTCGGATTCGTCGCTGACCCGCGATGACCTGTACATGACTGGCGATGCCTTCACCATGAACATGACCTTGTTCCTTGACTTTTACAACCGCGCCGATGAGAACGGCGTCTTGTCCATGGACCTTCTGGGCGACCAGGCTGCCCGCCGCTGGGCCTACAGCGTCGCCCACAACCCAGTCTTCTACTACGGCCCTGTCACGGGCATGGTCAGCCGTAATGCCGGATACTTCTTCCTTGGCCGTCTCCTCGCCAACCACACTGCCGAGCACCCCGAAGGCCTCCTCACGCAAAACGTCTTCCGCAGCTTCTTTGGCGTCTACGAAAAGTCGGATGGATCGCTCGAGTATCGCAAGGGCCACGAAACCATCCCCGCAAACTGGTACCGCACGCCCGTCGAATACGGCCTTGTCTCGCTCAACATTGACACGGTCGGCTGGGTCATGAAGCACCCGGAGCTGGGCAGGTACGCAAAACTCGCACTTTCCCCCCAGCACCCTGATATCAACTTACTAACATTCGTCTAACAGCGTTGGCGGCAACACGGGCAAAGTCAACACCTTCACCGGTCTAGATCTCCACGACATCACGGGCGGCGTGCTCAACTCGGCCACACTCCTCGAGAAGAACAACCTGCTCTGCTTCTCGTTCCAGGTCCTCAAGACGTTCCTCCCCAACTCGCTCTCCAGCCTACTCGCCACCATCCAGGGCCCCATTGACCTCGTCACAAACACCCTTGCCGCCCCGATCCTCAGCCTCGACTGCCCCGCCTGGAAGGATCTGACGACTGGCGGTGAGCCCCTTTGGGATGCCATCCAGCAGAAATTCCCGGGTGCCGCACGCTCTGGATCCAGTCTTTAGGTATACAAGTGTAGTGTAGTAGTTGGTTGAAGCCTGTTTTGGTTGACTTGTCAACTAGTTGACTAATTAATTCATAATCTCGACATTATCTATTCTTCTATCCGTGCATGTTTCCGTCAAGCTTCCCTTTTGTGCAGACGATATCTACCTTGATATCAACGTGTAGTATGCTGTGAGTAGTAGTAGTAGTAGTAGTAGTAGTAGTAGTAGTAGTAGTAGTAGTAAATATCTCAAGAAACCCGTTTCTTCATGTTTTTGGAGCACTCATAGTCGCTATATCTAGTAACCATCGCATGTGCACACGAGGTCTACCGAAACGAGCTTCAGCAGGATGGACATGGAGCTAGTAGGATGAAGGTGGAGCTAGTAGGATGAAGGTGGAGCTAGTAGGATGAAGGTGGAGCTAGTAGGATGAAGGTGGAGCTAGTAGGATGGAGATGCAGCTAGTAGGAGCAACGTAGATTAAGATAGACTCGACTTATCTTGATGTAGCATCAGAAAGTTGGACGTGTATCCAACGACACCCATTAGGTACTGTGAATTGAAATCTAACTAAGTAAGTAGTATGGGTATAATGTTACAATGCAAGTCTTCGCTATGGACACAACAATGCACCGCCCCCATGGCCGTGGTGCTAAAAAAAAACCAATCCAGCGTGATAAACTCCGTTGACGTGCTGCGTGTACGTCATTCTAGACCAAATTCAACACTTCTTGAACCACAAGCATATTCCTCTTCCTTGTGACGCCTGGCATAACAAGCTCCATGCCGGCTATGGTCAACACTAACCACTGGCATATCCCTCTTCCTTGTTGCACTTGACGTGGACAAACTCCGTCTTGCCTTGGCTATCAATGACAAGTGCGGTAAGCTTTCCTCCGCTAGCACATCCCGTATCCAGACCATACGAGTATTTGTGAATGTTGAGTCCCTTCTTCCTGTTGTGTCCATATATGACAGTCGCCCTCTCGCGCGGCTTCAGCTTGCCCTGCCTGTGATTCCAGAATGTTTCCCAAGCGGTGCCGCCGTGCTTGGAGGACGGAATACGTGTTTCGAGATCGATCGAACGCATGTTCATAACATGGAACGGGTCCTGGTGCTCGAGTGGCGTATCTGGCACCAGGCCGGCGTGCACCGTGACCAGATTTCCTAGTTTGGGGACACTGCCAATGCGAAGGATGACGGGGCACTGTCGCATGTATTCAATGTCCTTTTTGGTGAATTGCTTTGCCAGTTTACGCAGTTTCCCCTTGCCGTGAGTTGCAGTCGCTTCGCCAATAAAGTCAATCTTGGCGTCTGGAGGCGCATCGGCGGCGGGCAGCAGAATGTGGCGGTCGGCTGCTTGGTCAATGGAAAGCAGCAGTTTATCCTCCCAGTTACCGCGCACGCACGAGGCACCAATGTCCTGGGCCAGTTTGATGACGCCGGCAGAGTCGGGGCCCTTGGCAATCATGTCGCCCGTCATGACGAGATGGTCGCGCTTTTGATCGAAGCCAACCTTTTCGAGGAGCTCCTCGAGTTCCGTGAGACAGCCATGGACGTCGCCAACAAAGACGAGGCGGTTCTCCTTGGTGGGCAGGTGCTTCTCGTCGAGATCCGTGACCTGTATCATGCCCTTGAACTCTGGGAGCACGTGGCTGTCGTAGCTCATTGTCGGAGCGTTGTCCATCAGCTTCACCTGGGCGTAGTATGCGGCGCGGCGCGGGCCAAAGTACGTCCACCAGCTGATGATGGTCAGGATGAACAAGAGGAAGATGGTGAGGCTGTGGCGTTTTATCCTGCGCGGGATGCGATCGCTTGTGCGCAGCAGTGCGGCCTGGAGTTTTGGGGGGATGAGGAAGTCGTCGTCGCGGTCGTGGAAGCCGTCTTCTTCGTCGGACACGTCGAAGTCTGCGCGGTAGTCTGGAATCTGCTCGATGAGGGGCCGTGGGCGGGTTGGCGGGTAGCCGTGGGAACGGTTGTAGTACGTCATAGTTGTGCGGCGGATGCAATCAGTCGACGCGTGGGTGCAGCCGTGCCGCGGTATTTTCTGCCTTGGGATACCGCCCGAGCGGTGCGTCTTTCAGTTGTGATGCGGGAGGCTGTTATATAGAGGTCGTGTCTATCGGCCTGCTTGTCTATCTGGCTGTGTGGTGTGCGGGTCGCGCTGTATGGAAATGTAACTGCGATGCGATGATTTGCCGCTGGGCGTGCGGGCGAGGTTGGGCGCGATGAGGCGCGATGGAGCGAGATGGAGAGAGGCGGGCAGAGAGTTTGGATGTCGTCGCAGGCCTAAACCGGCGGGCAAGGAGCCCTCATAAGAGGGCGCCTACTGTTTCGCGTCGTCGCATGCTTCTGTTCCCTTCTTGGCTGCCCCCGGCGCCCATCGGCCTCGCGGCACTTGCGCCTGGCACAAGCGTCTCGCGCTAGTCCCAGACGGGCCGTCTCCATTCTCCCCCCCCCCCTGGCCGCTGGCTCGACGTGCATCGCATCCACCGACGGCCGCCACCGTGTGTGCGTGTCCACATGTGCCTGTTTTTTTTTCTGCTCCAGATGCTTCCGGCACACGTCCACACCAAAGGCCATCCATCTCACACACCAGACACCCGCTCAACAGTCGGCGCAAGCTGCCGCACGTCTTTTGATACACCCGTTCCGCATGCGGTTAGCGCCAACAGGCACCGCTCCCTGCACACCTGCACCTGTGCCTTCACCTCGACAACCACTCGACGTCATGCCCGCCATAACTTTCTCTCTGCGGCCCCAGCATTTCCGCATTGCATGCCACGATGCTGCGCTCCCACTCCAGCAAGCCCCAGCCGCTGAAGATTGTCGTCCTCGGTGAATCCCAGGTGGGGAAGACGTGCTTCATCGACATGGTACCACGACCCATGGCACGACACCACGTGCATGACATTGACCAGCTATCGCCATAGTTCCTGCAGGGAAAACACTACATCCGGCATCCCGCCGTCGATTCAGAGCTCCTGTCCCGCACCGTGTCGCACGCAGACGAGACGTGGCAGCTCTCCTTCATGGACGTGGACCTGAACGGCTCCCTCGCTCCCTCGTACCAGAGCATGATCGATAGCTATCTGGCCACGGCCCATGGCATCATCCTCATGTACGACATGACGCTGGGCTACTCGTTCGACAGTGTCATTGCTGAGCCCTATCTCCACACGTGGTACTGCCGCAACACCGTCTTCACAAAGGACCCTGCCACGCGCAGGCTCATCGGCACAAAGAAGCGTTTTGGCTGTGTGCTTGTCGGCAACAAGGCTGACCTTGCCAAGGGAGACACTGCCACTGCAACCAGGCGCCACGTCCACGCGGACACGGCTGCGCAGTGGGCTGCGAGCCAGGGCATGCGCCATTTTGAAATCACGGCTAATGCGCGCGGAGACGTGGATGCTGTCGTTACAGCACTAGTTGAGAGTATCCTACGAGCACGCCGCATGGATGCGAGAGACGCTGCTGCTGCGGCCGACGCTTCCAAGTCATGCTCCCCCAATAAGCACGACGTCCCGTGCATCATGAGTCTCTTGAAGCGCGCTACAAAACATTAAGTTGCCTATTTTTTCTTCCAACAACAACCGATGACTATATATATATATTTTTATGGACATGCAAGTATACGAACTCAAAGGCTACTTTTGGCTAGCTTTCTGCACCTTGTGGCTGTTTCGATGACGCGGCGCCCTGACCCCTCGCAGCTAGGTAGGTAGTTTGTTGCGCCACACAATATTATATCCGGTGCCCCCCGGGCCATACACTTGTATGTACTGATGTACCACGCCCACGCCTTGTTTGAGGCATATATTGTAGCGTTAGGCGCTGCGAGGAAACGAGTCTTGACATGCAATACGTGTGTACGTATGCGTGAGTGATGACGGTACTGGATTTCATGTGTGGCATAGACTCGTTATCTGATTCAGCAACATGATGGACTTGCTAGCGAGATATAAAAAGAATAAAGGACCGGGATATCACCATCATGCTCTCATAACTAGGTGTAGATACGTACCCTTCTTACCCCTCACACAGCAATCCCCATAGCAACCCACGACCAACACCCTCCACGTCCATCAACCTCTCCCCTGCGGCCTCCAATCCATCAAATCGCCCGCCTCGGTACTCCAAGGCCCCACGTCTTCATCCACAACCGGACTCGGCACCTCGACTTCTTCAACACCACTTGGACCACCCGCCGCCGTATCCACCTGCAAACTCTGTCTTCTTTTGAATTTCCGCCTTGGGTCTGTTCGCTTGATCAGGGCATCGAGTCCACCTCCTTTCTTTTTCTTCTTCTTATTGCTACCCGCATTCATATCTGCGTTTGCCTCTTCGACCGCCACTGCTGCTACTGCTACCATCTCCTCCTCACCCACGCCATCAGTCGTGTGGTTTGCAGGCTTCGGCAGATTGCGCTGTTCCCACGCCTCTGCAGCACTGGGGATCGGGGCGTCGTTTTCGCTGCGAACACGTCGGAAACTACGGGCGAGTGATTTTCCCGTGTCATTTGCGGTGCCATCGTCTTCAATCGCGTCGGCGAGGGCTTTGGCGAGTTTCTTGGGCTTTTGCAGGAGTCCAGCCAGCTCTGTTGTACTCATTAGCGGGCCCTTTTTATTGGCTCGTTGGGCATTGCCTGGCTGGGGACTGGTCGAGGCTGATGGCTTCGTGCGTTTCGTGCTTCGTTTAGGGAGGCCGTCTGTCGAAAGAGGTACATTGCGAGGAGGTGATGTTCGTAGTTGTCCATCAGAGGCTTCAGTAAGTGCTGGGGTCACATCTCTCGATACTGGTATTGCTGCATCGGGTATGGGAGTAGCAGGCGAGACTTTTGGTCCTGCCTTTGGTTTTTCTGCTTTGTTTCTTGCTGTTGCTTTTCGAGCCGTCGCTTTGGGCGATGGTGGTTTTGCATCGTCATTCACAGACTCGGGCATGTTCGCCCCAATCACCCCATGAGTCGTGTTCTGAGTAGGCTTTGGAACTGAGTGACCCTCGACGGGGGGTGACGAGGCTAAATGGGGATGCACAGGCGACGACGGAACCAACAGCTGCTGATCCATCAAGCCGTGAATAACTTCTGGGTCTTCTAGGAGACTGGGCGATGGTAGAAACGGAGATTTGGAGACTCGTGCTCTCTTTGACGCATCATGATTCGCTTCCAACCCTCTTCGCTTGCCTCTTGCTGGCCTCTCTACAGTAGTAGAAGCATCATTGTCCTGTGGAATGACAGATGCTGGCTCCTCAGTTGTCACGCGGGCTGCCCGGCTCCTGACTTTTGTGCCAGCTACCCTGGGATCACTGACTTTTGCACTCTGTAAAGACAGAGATTGGCACAACAACTTGCCACGCTTCACTCCGGTGGAGAGTCGAAGACATTTGGCTTTGCGTGCCGGTGGCGGCACTGGTGACGGCTCCTTGGGTGGTGCCTTGGCAGGCTGCAGCGCAAATTCAATGTTGCGGAGACGATTGCAGGCGCTCGCTGGAGGCGAAGACGGCGGTGCTGGCTGTCTAGGCGTCTCCAATGCTCGCACACTAGGCACTGGCACTTTGCCTCTGGGTATTCTTGGGGTTTGTGCGGAGGGCTGACGAGGCAGGGCGGTGTGTGTCACGGGAGTCTTAGCGGTGCGAGACTCGATCCTCTTTTCCGCAACCTTGGGAGGTGTGCTTGGCAGCGTGACGTCGGACAGAATGGCCGGGTGGAGATCCGGCTCCGAGTCGATTGTGATGATGGCGGCTGCAGGGGGAATAAACTTTGGTTGCTGGGCGTTTCTTGCGCCCACAGCCTTTCCCACATTTGCCGGGCTGTTGTTTGCTCCAACATGGTCTTCCTGTATGGGGCTAGACGCCCTCCAGTCTGCACGAGCCGGGCCCGTCTTCTGCCTTTTCGGGGCCCGCTCTTCTGCCAGATCATTCTCCTTTTCCTTTTCTTTGAGAGACTCATATGGCGACTTTATGGGCTGTGCCTTTCCAATGGGCCCTTTCGGGGTGCCGAGCAGCGCGTTGAGCGATTTGTGTCGCAGTTGCGATGCAGGCTTCTGCGCCTTGTTTGGCGCCACTGACGAGGGACACTGGAAGGGTCTCAAGGGGTTCGTTGCGGAGGAGGCAGGCGGAGCGGGCGGCTGGTCCCTGGTCTTTTTGGACAAGACGGCGGTCAGGTCGGTGTGGGTGATGCCAATGGGCTCGGAAACCTCGACGAGGACGCCATTGTTCAGGTTGAGCTCGTCGCCCTCGTGCAGCTCGTCGGCGTCCTTGTAGTAGGTGTCGCCGAGGAAATTGCGGGCCTGGTCGTACACCATGACGCGGCTGTTGAAAGAGTGGAACTTGAGGAAGCCATCGTGCCAGCGCTTCTGCTTGCGGCGGATGTCGTGGGTGAACAGGCAGCGAAACTCGGCGACGGGCGCGCTGGTCTGCTCGGCAGCAATGGCGGCGATGGCAGAGGCGTGCGGGGTGTTGCGGAGAGGCGCCGTCATGGCATGGGGGGCGACATGGAGTGCGGGGCTGGTGGGCAGAGCGAGAGTGAAGGTGGCAGGCAGGCTGGCAGGCTGACGCGCCGCGGGCAAGGCGGCGTGGCGTGGTGCTCGCCGCGCCATCACGTGACGGAGCCACCGCTCCCCTCCATGGCCGGGCTGGGCGCCGACGGGCAGCGGCAAGGGATCCAAGACAGTGACAGTGACCGGGCAGGGGAGGCTGCGTACTGCTGCATGGCCTGTCTGTCCCCCTTCAGTCATGACACGTCTTCGGGGCCTGACGCGCACTGGGCTGACACGACAATTGCACACTGCAGCATGCCGTTTGCCGTTTGCCGTGTGCTGCTAGTACTGCTAGTACTACTGCCGCTACCACCACCACTACATGTACGCGCCCTAACACCAGCTGGGCGGCATTTCTCGTGGTGCAGCGGATGCAACGCAAGCAATCGCGGGGCCGCCTTGAATCCCTGCCGCGCTCCATCAGCTCTCCTCACCCTCACCCGCACGCTCGCGCCCGCTCTCGTCCAGCGCCCTCCCGCCCGCCCCGAGGGCACAGCCACCGCTAGTGGTCCGTCCACGGCCCTCCATCCACCACCACCACCACCACCACCTGTATCATTGCCCGTCTCCCTCCTCCTGCTGCCCACCCCCCAATTGCTGCCCGCCCGACAAGATGCAGCGCATGCAGAGATTCACGGGCCGCTTCTTGACGCGCACGCCCAACGAGGCCGACGTCGAGGCCATGCTCAAGGACTTCAACGACTCCAAGGTCATGCTGGAAAAGGTGCGTCGCGCTGCTGTGGCTTGTTCTCTCCAGCCATCGCCCGCTGCACTGGTGGGAGCGGAGCGAGACATGGCTTGCTAACAACAACCCCCAGCTCGAAGCCTCGGCCAAGCAATGGCGAGACGCGTGGACAAACATCCTCAATCACCAGCTGTCGTCGGTCGAGTGCCTCTACACCATCTTCAAGCCCCTCGGCGGCGAGGGCGGCTCCGCCACCCATGTCCATGCCGAAACTCCCGCCGCCGTCCTGGAGCGTGTCCATGGACTGCACGAGGCCTTTGCCGAACTCAAGACGGACATGATGGAGGAGGTCAAGGACATTGACCGCAAACTCGTCGTGCCCGCCAAGCTGGCCCGCGATGCCCTGAAGCCCATGGAAAAGGCCATCAAGAAGCGCGAAGATGCAAAGGTGCGTGCACACTGCCTGCTGCCCCGCCGCCGCCGCTGACCCTCTCGACAGATTGACTACGAGCGCTACAAGAGCCGCTGCGAGTCGCTGCAGAACAAGAAGACTCGCTCCGAGCGCGAGAACAGCGCTCTCGCCAAGCACGAAGCTGACCTCGAGCGCTCCACGCACGCATACCAGCTGGCCGACGAGAACCTCCGCGAGCGACTGCCGCGCCTGAACGCTGCCACCTTTTCCATCCTGCCCCACCTCTTGAGCAACCAGATTGTGCTACAAAACAACCTAATTGGAAACTTGTACACGGTACTGCAACAGTACTCGCAAGAGCAGGGCTACCCGGACCCCCCGCCAGAGCCCGAGGAGGTCATACCGATATGGGACTCGAGTTTCACGCCGCTGCGCACCGAGATGGAGACAAGTCTTGGCCTGCTCAAGACGGGCAAAGCGGTCCACCAGCCCATGCGATTGCCGGACAAGGGGGACACAGTGACTGGCTTGGGAATCAGAAACAAGGTCCTGCCCGGCCGGAGAGCCAGCAGCAACGACAGCGTGCCCACCATTAGCAGTAGCAGACCGGCGCGGCCGTCGCAAACGCTGTCTCCCACGTCTGAAGGAGGCCCGCCTCCCATCAGCCTCGCCAACAAACCATCGTACAGTTCCCTCAACGCCAGCAAGCCGAAAATCTCGAGCTCGCCCCATCTGAGCGCCGGTCAGGACATGTATGGCCGCCGTCTTTCGTCCACATCGCAGGCTTCGTCGTATTCAAACGGCACCAATGGCGACGGCTACTTTGGCAAGCCCGCGGCCTCTTCCAATGGCTCCACGCCCAGCGGATATCCGACCTCGCCCAACCCTGCAGCGGGAAAGAAGAAGCCACCGCCACCACCCCCGCCAAAGAAGATTGGATCGTTCCAGGCCGAGTACGTGACGGCCATGTATGATTTTGACAGCCTTACGCCCGGCGACTTGTCTTTCCGAGAAGGCGACCGGATCAGGGTGATCAAGAAGACGCAGAGCTCGCAGGACTGGTGGGAGGGCGAGATCCACGGGCAAAAGGGCAGCTTCCCTGCAAACTACTGCAAATGAGCGTGAAACGGGCAAAATGGGATGACGGAAATGATATCCACCTCTGCATTAGATCAAGGCGTTGGCGCGTTTATGGAATCGTCGTTTGCAAGCTGGAAGAATCTTGGTTAAGTATTCAACGTAATGGAAGCTGAATATCGTTTTCGTCCATAGTCTTCAGCCGCCTCCGCTGGGGTGGCTCAGCCTTCCAATACGGCCCCCGTGCTGCCCAATCACGCTTTACGTCGTGCCTTAGCTCCCCGCCTGCGCGTGTCATGTTGAACTCGCTCGCTGCCTGCACGTGCCTGGGCGTTGTGACACTGCCACACCAAGCAGCAGCAGTAGTAGCAGCAGCAGCAGCATGCGACGCACGCATATATGGCCCGCCTCCCAGCCTGTCTCATGGAACCGCACGTCGCTCTTCCCTCATGGGCAGCATGGCTGTAAAAACACCAGTACAGACGGTAAGTGGGTTGCAGGACACAGTCTTCATATGACCATGCTGATCACAGCAGGCCTCGATGCTCGAACCCCCTTTCTCGTCACACCATCTACCACCAAAATCAGATGCACATATCCATCTGAATGGGGCATCATCTGTCACGCAACACCACAACGGGACTATACAGCCGGATCCTCCCAGCGTGCCCTTGTCAGCCCTCGACTCGCTTCCTACCATAACTGGCAAAAGTGCCAACATTATTAGGCCCGAAGAGGATGTGGCCGATTTTCTTGCCTTTGATCTTGACCTCTCTCGCCTGAACCGCATACATGGCCACCTCTGGATGGCAGGCCGCCCCATGCGCGCCCGTCCGCTGCACCGGTACAAGATGCTCGGCATGGAAGTCGTTCAGACCCAACAGGTGGATCTGCATCTGTTGAAATTCAGCACCAAGCTACTTGTCAAGCCGCTTGCCGAGTGGATGGTATGCCACCAGTTCTGGACAGACTGGATCTGCAAAGGCGGCGATGCAGATGGAGAGAGAGAGGAAGGCTGGCTGTGGAAGAGCGCAGCTGGCTTCCTAGTGAGCTATGTGTGGCTGATCACCACGCCGCTGGACTTGAAGATTGCTCACGAATGCTCGCTTCTACCGTCTTTTGTCACTTGGCACTGGTGGAAGACGTTTGTGCGCGACTTTATCAAGCACGTGGACATTGATACCCTGCACCAGGTCAACCCCCGGTACCAGTTTGGCGACTTGCGCCTGGGACGCATCAACACAATCTATCGCATACGATATGCGCATACCCATTTTGTGCGAGGCTATCTGCACGTCATTCTCCATGCAGCTTAGTGCTGTGGAATAACTGCTAATCAATTTGCAGATACGGCTACAATCGCTACGTCATCTTCTTCCAGCGGAAAATCTCCTGGATCCTCATTGTCTTTGTCTTCTTTTCCGTCGTCCTGTCTGCCATGCAGGTCGGCTTTTCCTTTCCAAGCGACTCGTCTGAGTCGCTTCAAAACAAGGACGCATACCTCCGTGCGTCATACGTGTTTGTCGTTTTCAGCATGGTCAGCGTTGTAGTCATCTTAGCATTTGTCTTGTTCATTTTCGTCTGGATCTTCACTTTCAACATGGTCAAGGCCATTACACATGCGAGCAGTGAGCAGAGGAAGAGAAAGGAGTTGGCTGCGCAGAGGAAGAGGGAAAAGGAGAACGGAGGCGAATCATGATTTCATGCATGTGCTAACGAGTAACCATGTCCATTCGAAAAGAAAGCTGCGAAAATGTACGTCTTGCTCTTGATATCATAGCCCCGAAACGCCGTATAGACCTAGAATGCAAACATCTACACCTTATGCCAACCCTATAGCTCCTCCTTTGCTCCTTTGGCCTTTACCTGCAACGCCTCCACCGTAAATCTCACCTCCTTGTCCCCCGTCTGCATGTGGCTAACCTTGCCAATTACCTTTCCATGCGCAGGCTCATTGGCATAGCTCTCCAGGCCGTCAAAGACACCCTCACATTCTTTGGTAACGTCCTCATCCTCCTCGACCCACAGCGGCAAAATAGGGTAAATGGCGCCGGGGGCAAAGAAGACGACGTCGTCCTGGATGCTGAAATGGCGTTGCAGGCTCTCGCGCTTCAGCCACTCGCGCACTTTATACGGCATGTCGCTCATGCTCATCATCATGAGCTCGCGGCCGACGCCGTGCACGTCGATGCCGTCCCACGAGCCGGCGTACAGCTGCTTGTTGTAAAAGACCTTGAGCTGCGGCGCCTGCTCCTCCAGGTCGGGATACATTTCGTTGAGCTTGTAGATTTTGGCGTCGTAGGTCGATTTGGCCCGGCAGTGCTGTGTGTAGGGTTTGAGCGTCGCGTCGTCCCATTTTGCGGCCCACAATGCGCCCACGGGCGTGGGTTCTTCGGGCGTGGGGCTCGAGGCGCTGTCCGAGGGAGATGAGGAGGAGGAGGAGGAGGAGGAAGAAGAGGAGGATGCCGAGGCAGAGAGGATGAGGGGGAGGAGGGGGCCCAGAAAACGCATGATGAAGTTTTTTGTATATGCAATGCGACCAATAGGTGTAAAAGTATATCTCTTGTAGATGGTTCAATGCAATGTAGTCGTCGCGCAGCAGCCAAAGACGAGTAAGTATTTCCCTTCACACACACACACAGACTCACCCCCAGAGCAAAGGAAATACGTACCCTATATATCTACCGCGCCCCAATTTCCCCCGGCGCGCCCCTCCACATACACGTTTGCAATTCTGTCCTTTTCTCCTCTTTTTTTTTCTTTGGCGCCGCATGACGTTGTGTGTTCTCCGCGTCCTTGTTCCGCATTCCATATTAAAAGCCGCCAGGGGTATATATGTAAGTACAGTATATACCGGGGGCCACGCGGGCTTAAGCAACACGCGCGCAATTAGATTAAAAGAACACGGTGGAAACATGCACGGCACGTGTTTGCGAAGGGCCCTGCGCCCGAGGCCTTGTTGCTGCGCCCAGCGATATACAACACGTGGATACTTTTCTTGGGCTTGTTTCTTGTTGGATTAGGAGGGTGGATTTGGCAGGGCTGCAGACGACATAAGTGGGTGAGGGGCCGCCCCCGCCATTTACTTGAGGGCCAGCCAGCTGTGTTCCTGGTAAGTACACGCGTGACTTGCGAGTGGAGCGACCTAGGTAAGTAAGGCATGGAATGCCGGCGCGTCGCATGAAGTTGGCCGGGGTACGGTTGATTTTGGAAAGACGTTAATACGCTGCTGACTCTGTTCAAGTAGTTGATTTGTGCCATGGAGAGATTGACATTTCTTTCTGCATCTTGAAGCTCTTTCCTCGTTGCCGAGGCAAACCATTGCCTTTGCTGTCATGAGAGTACCCATGTCAGTAAGAGAGTGCATACCCTTTACAAATATGACAAACAACAACCGCATTGCTCGCAAGAATAAGCTCGTTCATATCATTGCTCCAACATGAAAGTCGTATTTACACTCCTTGCCTCGCTCACTTTCCGCAGTCATGGGTGTGCTAGAGCCTATGCAGCCTCCATTTGACGGACTATGCAAGTAGCATTGTCTGAAAATTGATGCTCAACAGTATTCTTACTCGATGATGTAGCAAGAAAAATAGTCTAAGCCCAAACATATGGAGGCCCACCAAGACTACCGAGTGTGAACTTGTCATTGAGCATATATGAATCGCGATACTTAGCTATGTCAAGGATATCAGTGTGAAAGAAGGCTAATATTTCAAAAGCGAAATACTGTACACATTTTATAAACACGACATGATCACGGGTGTTTGAAATAAGAGTCTAGTTAAGGATGATGGATTGTGCTTCCAAAAACAACGTGAGCACAGGGCAGATACATCCATCTCATATTACTACCAGTTGTACTCATTGTACACCGTAAGACTATCAGGCCTTTCTATAATACTCGAAAATAGATGGTGCATTGGAGAAAAGTCAGGATCAGATCTGAAGCGACGCCAAAGTGGCGACTTCATAGCGCACTGTTGCTTTCAACCGCTATTTGCGATGTCGCTGAGATTCTCTGAACCTCTTTATTCCTTACCCCCGACCGATCATGCCTCTGGTGCATAGCACAGGAGGTCTTAGTCGCAGAAAGTTTCACCAGCGTGACGCACCGAAGCTACGGGTCATTCTCACCCACGAGGCGGACTATCCTTCTTTGAACGGAAATGGCCTTTGGTGAACAAAATTACCCGCGCGCCTCACATCGACAGGGGGAATGGACAAAAAGGCAATGAATCTTCTTTTGTGGCATCGTGATCGGTACGCGGTAGGCCTTGTTCGTACCATGAAGAGCCGCCTAGGAGCCTGGCTCCCACCATGGCGCTAGTCAGATTGCATGGGCGCCCTGTTTGAGGCTTATGCAGTGTCGTCACCGGGTAAAAACCCAAAACTTAGAGGAGGGTGTGGCAAGTACTCAGCGTTTTCGAGTTGCGAAAAAAACTTCATTAACCGTGTAAACCCTCTAATGCACCCTGTCACACAACAATTTTCCCTGTACGGTCTATAGCCATAGTTTTCAACTTATCTAGTACTTTTCTTCCTTCTTGACCAGCGGCTTGAGCCCAGGCAGGGCAACGACGATGATTGAAAGGGCCATTTCAACCATGCTGAGAATGTCTGTTGGAAAAAAAAAGACGTATTAGCCCATGCTCATACTTGGAAGGAGATGCAAAAGAGGGTCAAACTCACAAACAAGGTTTTCCTGGCCCGTACCAACTTTGAGCGAAACGAAGCGGACGATGCCTGAGGCAATGGTAAGAGCACCAAGTGCAAAGGTCAGTCCGACACCCGGCGACGATCTCAGCACGCCCTTGATCAAAAGCACGACGGGCACGGCGTATACAACAAGGTAGCAGGCGAGGTTAAGGGTGAAGTTCAGGATAAAAGGTTCCGGGGCCCAGAAAACAGAGCATGCGCCTTCTTCCTGCGACCACTGTACGGAAACGGGGACGCCACAGAAGAAGGTGTCGTCAAAGAGAATCGTCACGTAGCACGCGACAACGAAGCCGGTGATGGCGAACAGCATCTTGCGCAGGCCGGGGTGGCCCGCGAGATTGAAAAACGCCCAGTAAAAGGCCAGCATGCTGAGCTTGGGGAAGCCCATGCCGACATCGTAAAAGTAGTTTGAAGCAAACGAGATCTACAGAAGTGACGTTAGTCGTGTGTCCAAAAGCATCCACCGCCGTTGCGGTCCAGATACCGAGAACTCACCTTTGACAGTCTGACAGATGTCTCGTAGTTGTCCATGACGCCCATCTCGTACGTGAGCGTGTCGCAGATGATGAGGCCGAGGGCTACGAGTGCCGACGCGATGAGAAGGTAGTCGGACCAGTCGAGCCTCTGGTGCAATCTAAACACGCGCGTCCAGATGCGTGCAGCAACGAACAAGTACGCAAAGGCGAGGAGTATCCATTCTGCAATCTAACACATAGCATTCCTGTGTTAGCCGTCCCGTTCCACAGCATAGTCTCATCGACTTCTTTTTTGTTCTTTCGTGTGGTAGGGTAAATGCTCACCATGCAGTCTTTCCCATCGATAAAGTAGGCCATTATGCTTAGGCTGTAGTGTGACAGGATCCGCCACAAACTGGCACACTCTGACGCCCAAAGAGCCTTCAAAACGGTTGACACGAAAGAGCCGATGCAAAGGAAGGTGGATGGGTAGATTCGCTCGCTTCAGACCTGTGACAAAGCCGCAAGGCGTTTTGTATAAAAGCCACCACAACAGACACACCCACACATGCATATCTGTGTACCCACAACATTAGCATGGCAGGGGGACTAGATTGCGCACCGCGCACGTATCGCACGACAAGGCCTTGGAGGGGGTTTTGCTCGGCCGGCGACTACGCATCCTATCACAGGCACTCGCTACCGGATATTAGGCCTTTGTTGTCAAAGGAACGAAGGACTGGAAAGAGATTCGACATGCATGCGCGCGGAAGGGCGCTCGTAACGGGGAGGCGGAGTTTGACATGGCATGGCATGGCACGGCGTGAAGGAATGGGCCGGTCCCAACAAGAGTCCTCGTCTGGCGTGACGGCTGAACCAGAGACTTGGATTCATGCCAGATGTAGAAGACGAAGAGGAATCGTATTACTATGGGGGCCAGGGTGAATCCTTTGTTTGCCATTTTTTTTTCGGTTTACATTCTTTACATGATTGTCGTCGCGCAGTATCCGAGTTGATTGACCGTCAGCGTGTTTGAACATGGACCCATGTACGCCAACGTCGCTGGAGTACTCAACCAAGGAGATTGGTCACGTAAAAACCACGTTGTGGTCAAGCTCTCGCTCGTCTTGGCTTTTCGGCATGGAGCCGGTGGGTTAATTTGCCAGCCAAACTGCAATACTAGTTATAAGCGAAGCATTCCGCCAATGCCGATCCACCCCACAAGGCATTCTTGCGGCACGGCTTGACGCCGCCTGTGAGCCAAGCAGCATAAAGAGGTCTAGAAAGGCGGAGCTAGCAACGGTTACGGCTCGCGTGGAGCAGCCTCCCGTGAGCCACTGGTGCTCGGTTTCCCATGCGGACCGCGAGACGAGCATCGGTGATTAGCGTAACTCTGTAATCATGGTCAGACCACACGCGTGGTTCGTCCTTTAGCGCCAGGGTCTGCCAGTCCATGGCTAGCAAGACGGAGAATCTATTACTTCTGGTTGTATGTATGTTGGTAGTGTACATGGGCCCGGTCCAATCCTTCAAAGTCTCGTACCGCTTCTGTCGCCTCAGCCGCGCCGGCTAAAAAAAAATCTCTGTCGGGCGACCAGCTCCTGAACCACTCTCACGGTTTATTTCCAAGTCCTGCTTCGCTGTCTTCGTCCTGCGACCGCGAGAACTGTACGCTAATTCGCCGTGTTTCGTAGATGACATCCTTTCGCCCAAGACTGTTGAGCTCCACTTCGCTTCCAGAGTCTTCCTCGCTATGGATGCGGACGGTGTGTTTGCCTTTTCTGGATGGACGCAGGTAACCTTGCGAACCCGTCGCTGGTGTCCGTTGTCCATACGTTGTGCGCGACTCTGATGAGCGTGATTTTTTGCCCAAGGAAAAAAAGGAGCCCCGGCGGAGGAAGGATCTCATGGATGGCAGCGATACCACGATAATGGCAATAGCCAATTCGGCCATGGACAGCACAACTGCACATCAGTTAGCGTTTGGGACACACTTTGCTCTTGCTGTGTCCACGAGGCAATCGCATACAAACGTTGGTCCACGCGTAGATGACCTCGATCGTCGCAAAACGAACGACGCTCATGGCAATTGTGGCTGCTCCGAGGGAAAACGTCACAATGAGACCCCAGATCTGCCGACGTTGAAGTTGGAGAGAATGGAGAAGCGGAAATGGTAGTGCAAAGACTGTGGTCCGTTGTCAGATACGACTCCAAAAATAAGACTAGCAATCTCACTACGTACTCAGCAAGTCGGAGAAAAGGTTTAGGCTCCAGTCGATCCTGAAGACCTCCTTCGAGTTGAAGGTGTTGCAGGCGCCTTCCTCGAGAGACCAGTTCACCGAAACCTCAAGGCCGCACCAGAATGTGTCGAGAAAAAAGGTTGCGAGCATGGCGCTTCCCGTGAAGAGCGCCACTGCGTACAATGCTTTTCGTAGCCAGGGCATTGTTGGCGGGATGAGTCGAAAGTACAACGCGAGAATGGCTAGCTTTGGCCAGTAGATACCAGTGTCGTAAAAGGCATTGCCGGCAAATTGTACCTGTTAGCACAACTGTCAGCCTGTTGGTATCCATTACGCTGGCAGACGGGCATGCTCACCTTCTTAAGTGCAATAAGCTGAGAGTCTGGTGCTGCCGTCTCCTTTTCCGACATGCCACCCAATTCATATGTCAGGGTATCGGTGACGAAAAGCCCAATGGCATCGAGTATTGATGCGATCAGCAGGCAGTCGCTCAAAGTAAGATGCTGTCGCAGTACAAGTCGTGGAACGAGACGGCCGGACGCTACGAGCATGCAAAGGGCTAACAGCATGCCCTCAATGGGCTTTGCAATGGCGCGTTAGCATCAAACACGCTCCACACTGTTTCCAGTGCTGACTCGACAGAACACTTACAATGACAGCATGGGATTCCACGCCAGCCGCCATCATGGAGAGGCTGCGCTACCAATTCCCAAAGTTGAAGGGAGAAGGACGTGGCGGAAATCTAGCCAACCGCTCAGGCGTGTTGTATTTCTTTCATGGTGAAGACTGCCTAGGATGGCACCAACTGAAGGGGCAAACAAATTGTATCAGGCGTACTAAAACGGCCCGTCAGCTGTTGGGCGCTTGTACCTGGCTCATGCCAGCACCGCATGCTTCGTTTACCGTTCACCATATTGAACGGAAGCCATTAGCCCGTAGGCAGAATAGCTTAGAGGCACATGCAGACGCGGGGCCGCCCGCCCAATAAGGCGCTAGCAGGTTATATGTGGAAGCAGGGATCGGTTCTAGAGGATGTATGGAACGAATGGCAGCGGCATAATAGAGTCTCATCTGCCTGCAGACAAGGATCTCCACCAGGAATTCTGTGTGTTGTTAGTGAGTTGCCGTACACGAGCCCATTCGGCCCATGTGAAAATGGCCAACTCCTCCCAGCACTCTCCGTGTGGCTAAATCCTTTGCAATATCAATTTTTCAGAGGCAACAAATTGGCACCTAGGAACCTTGCCGCTCCAAACTCTGCGGAAGACAGCCACGCTTTGCAGAAAGAGATGACGGGTGGTGTTCACGGATAGTCGATGTAATTTCGGGTCCGGGTTCGTTGTCTTCCTTGGCGAAGAGGCCGAGGAAACCAGACATGGAATATGCGAAGAAACGTTTTGACCACTGTTTGCAGCTTCCACCAAAGGCGGAAAAATAACGAGAGGGTAGTGGGAAGTTCCTCTGGACAGTGCGATAGCAGAAAGAAAGATGGATTGGCTGTTGTGCGATGTGAGAGGCCGAGGATAGCGACAAGAAGCACTGGCACTGGCACTGGCAACAACGGGGCAATGACGTAAGTAACGCCAGACACAGCCAACCACAACCACGACTTGGCACACATCAAGATGCCCAAGCCAGAGCCTCGCCCTCAGAACCGGCCATGGCACGGCCCTAAAGCTGGATAGCCGCCGTTATCAGTCAGGGCAAGTGGGTATGCACTAGGAACCGGTTTTGCGTACCTGTACCTGCGCAAGGCTTCGTCGACTAGTGACGGCATAGGGCGTCAAAGGAGACGAGCGGGTAGAAGTATGGCACGACTGCAACAATCGACGTGTCCACATGCCAGCACTCTGTGAAGCCCTGCAACCTGGATTCATCTGTTTCCTAGCGTCTATACTCGTCTTTGTAACAGCATTGTCTCCTGGCCCTATCCGCCATGCGCTCTGCGTCGACGGCACGAAGCGATGCAGGCATGCTGCCCACCATAGCAGAGCCAGCACCCGGGCGGCATGAAGCCGACAGGAGAGAAGAAACGGGGAGAAAAGACAGCGGCTTACCACCCGTTTCTCTTCCATCCAAGCCGTCGTGCACACGTACATGTTCAGCACGCATTGCCGAACCGTCGCGACCACACCGCAGCAACTCGACGCACACCAAGCCAACGCCTCAGAGACCAGGCCTTGACCGCCGCCGCACAACCGCGCGAACACGCTACATCGACATGCTCCTTGGCCTGGACGCCGTCTCTCCCCTTCACAACGTGCTCGCCTCGGCATTCGTCTGGCTCCTTCTAGCCGGCTACATTGTCTTTCCCGCCACCTTCACCAGGCTCCAGAGCGACTCCATCGACCAAAAGGCAGACAACACGTTCAAAGAAGCGACCTTGAGAACGGTGCACAACGTGCCTCTGCTCTATGTCGCGGCTTTTGCATGTGGCGTTGGCGTTGTCGGCTGTCTGTGGCTGTGGTGGAAACATCGCAACAACTACGTGTGGGTCATCCATAGAATCTTTCTGCCCGCATTACTAAACAGCATTGCTGGCCTCATTTCGACAATTGTCAATGTATACTCTGCCCAGGGCGGCCAGTTCAGTGTCACCGCACGCGTGACCGTCGTCGTCACTTCGGCATGTTCCGTTGTTGCTGCGGCCCTGTTCCTGCTGTATAATACAATCATGTTGAAGTTTGTGAAGATGAGACATGCAAGAGAGGTTAGCGCTGTGGAAAAGGAGCAGGAAAGACGTCATGGTTGTGTAGACGCAGCTTGAGCCGTGGAATCCCTCCGAGCTAGCGTAGGCCTGAGGCCGTACAGACAGCGCACATGGTCAGTTGCTCTTGTCGTAGCTCTTTCGCCCTCTAGCCGCCAATGTTACTTCCGCCAATACGTCTGGACAAATTCGTGGGCCCAATCAATTACACCAGCCTTCCAATCGCCCAGTGACTCTTCTATCAACCCCTCCCATTCTCTTGCTGCCTCGTCCTCTCCCTTGCCACCACCTACTCCCTTGCCGAGCCACAGCCGCTCCTGGACCTTTCTCACGCTGCCCTCTCGCTCAATCTTGATATCTGGTATGTTGGCGCCTTGCATGAGAGCAAAGAGATTGAGAATGAGGTTGGAGGATTTGCGCAACGTCGACCAGGCAGTGTATGTGTACTCTTTGAAGGCAAGGTAATTGGGGTGCTGGACCCCACCCATTCCTTCAATCATTTCTCGACACAGCTTCATGGCCGGCGCAAATGGCTTCGGGTCTCGACCCAGTATGTACCCAAAGTCGACATGGAAAAAGGCCCCCGAAGGAGCAAGCAGCAGATTGTCAAGATGACGATCGCCCACTCCGAGCAGATAGGTTATGACACAGTAGCCGGCACACGATTTGATGTACTTGTCCATTGCTTCTTTTCTTACCCCCAGTGGAGCGCTGTCATCGGGGTTGTTGGCGCGCAGATAGGCCAGTAGACTGCCCCGGTGCTTTTGGCATGCTGCTGCGATGGACATGCTGGGTACAAACTGGAAAGCTCCCGCCGACGTCGAAGTGGCGAGGATGCGGTACGGTGTGAGTTTTAGATCCAAATTTTCCTTTCGAAGTAGACGGTCCATGAGGGTGATGATCTGGATGACGAGCTGATCTTGGCGGAGGTCGTCGCCAGTCTTGAAAATGATCGGGTAGGGTGTTGACGTTGTCGTCTTGAACGACAGGACCATGGGAAGCAATGATGACTTGAGAACGTTGCAGTCCTCGGTCGATATACCTGTGATCAACACTGAAGGGTCGAGGGGTAGTGGAAGCGGGTCAAAGCTGGTCAGCTCGTTCTTGGGGTCCGCAATGGCTTTCTTGAGGCGGGCGAGCTTTGTCGGGCGATCCCCACCACCAAAGCGCACGTCTTTTGATATCTTGGCCAAGATGGTGAGTAGCTCGCCCTGTCGCTGGAAAGTCTTGCGGATATCCATGCCTTCTGGAGTTTTCTCCAGCTCGACCATGAAATCGTACTCGACCTTTGCGAATAGATCGCGATGCTCAGGCTCCTGGTCAGTACTAAAGTCGCTGATTTCGACCATGAGATACCAATGCAAAAAGTTACCCAGTGTGAAGCTGTTGGCAGCACGAGTAACCAGGAACCGCGCAAGTGATGAGTCATCTCCCTCACCTGGAGCCTCGTACTTGAGTGCTTGCACTAGTTGTAGAAGGTACAGCTGGAGTTCTTCATCGTCCGCTTTTTTCAGGCGTTCAACGGCATAGCTTCGCACAACAGGGTGGTCAAAGTGAGGTCCAAGTAACTCAAGAGCATCGTCGACGTCAATTTCCGCCCACTTGTCCAGCAGAGGCGCTGCTTGCCGAACCTCTCGTGGATTCTTCCAGTTGACGCACTTGACAAACTTTGTCAGGGCACGCTTGTCGCGCAGTAGGAAATACCGGAACTTCCAGATGTCGTCTCGTTCGTGCGAAGTGATTTCCTCAAGAGGACCCTTGGCTAGGAGCATGTTCAGCTTATCACGGACATGCACGTTCGGCTTGCGATCGCGGTCCAGCGAATCAGTCTGCTGGCTGCGCATCAACTCGCGGTGTTTGTCTTCAGCGGGGTTGACTCTTCGTCCGATCTCGGGATCATAAATCTTAATGAGCCGCCCCGCGTCAGCATCGCCATAGCCTACTCCATCGATATCTATGCCCGGCCCAAAGGAGACCTCTGGTGGGGGACGCAGCCTCACGTCGGCTTCAGCGGGCAGGCGCATGTCGGAGACGGGTGGAGGCGGGTATTCGACATCACTGAAGACAATGGCATGATCGAAGCGAGGGAGTTCGATGTCGAGGTAGAAAAGCTCCTGCTCATCGGAATGAGCCGTGTCGTTGGTGCTGTTTGGCTTGCTCTGTCGGCTCAGAGCTGCCGCCTCGGCTTTGAGGGCGTCCTTTCTGATCTGCATCATCTTCTTGTAAACCAGTCCGTCGAGCCAGTGATTTGTCGGTAGATCGCCCATCTCCTGCTTCTTGAGCAGCCCCTCCAGCCTCTCCATCTCGGCGACCTGCTCGTTGACCGTGTCCTCGACCGCATGTGCGTTTCTGGGCCTGCGCGCTGGCGGTATGACCCATGGAGTTGAGGAGTCGGTCAGGCCATCGGCGGCCTTGAAACGGTGTATGCGACAGCGCTGCCTGCCCTTGTGCAGGGTGTTGTCGTTGTCGAACAGCGGTATCGTGGTGCCACCGAAGGGAACCGCGTGTTGGTTTGACTCATTGTCCTCGGCAGGCGACAGGTCCCATATGGTGATGGCGATTTGCGCAGACGCGGGGAGGTTTGCGTATGTGACGGGCAGCTCCAGCCATTCGTTCCATATGCGCGCGTTCTTGAAGGACTTGTAGGCGGTCTGAACAGGCACAGTGAGGGGCTTGCTGTCGGCCCATATCTGCGCCGTGACATAGAGCTCGAAGTGCGGGCTATGGCGCCGTCATCAGCATTCCATTCTTGTCCGCCGCGTCGTCACGGGCGGCTCACTTGATGATTGAAGCTCGATGCCTCAGGTCTGGTCGCTTCAGCAGGACCGAGTAGGGTATGGGCTTTTGGTTTCCGTCCAGACGGTCACTGCATGCATCTTCAGCACCGGCGCAAGACAAGTAATGCGGTACGGTTGGGTCCCTACATTCGAACATGGACGGGGAGCCCCGTCAGGTCAAGCGACGTCGCAAAGTTGAAGGCTTCCATCGTGCGCGGTGAGGAAGCTGGCAGCTACCAGCGTATGCCATGGGCGTGAGACATGGATGGGATGCGGCGAAGCTTGCTGCTGGACGTGATAGTGACACATGACAAGCCGCGAGCAGCAGTTGGGGATGCACGCACCAGCCACACGGCACCAGCCACAGGGACACAGTCAGAGTGGGGGAGTTGGGGGGGGGGAGGTCTGCGCCACACATGACCTGGCTGACGGATGCAGTCGCGCTTACGTCAGGCACAAATCGCGCTAATGCTAATTGGAGCGCATTGGGAAACGAGCGCGTCCTACGCACGTCAGGAACAGGAACGGGTTAAGGCTGCTAATCAGTCTCATCATTCACGGCCGTGTACCCCCCCCCCACCAAACACTGCCATCTCCCATTCGCTGCCCCCCCCGGATTTCTTCCTTTTATTCTTCTCCTCCTTGCCAGTCGGCATGGCGCGCCTCAATACCCATCTGTCGGCCACGCCACAGCCACGCGCCTCGACCGTCGACTCGCTCTATCGCGACCCCTCTGTAGCGCCTCAGAGCGAGCGCAATGGGCGCACATCGTCATATTCTGTCATCAGTCCGACGAGATCCATGCAATCCGATAAGGAGAACGAAGTGCCCGACACGTACAAAAATACCCCGCGGAGAGGAAAAGCCAAGGGCCTACGGAGCGCGTCGGCGCGCATGCCCACGCCGGATTCAGGCTCGACTGAAGGCCACGGCAGCAAGAGGCGGCGCACGGGGAACTACGACATGTCCCGCTCCCAAAGATATGACGGCGAGCACGAGGCAGACGAAGAGGACGGCATCGACACACCGTCGCAGTCGCATCTTCAGCCTGAGCCGGACGAGGAGGGCGACCTGAGATTCTATAACCCAAATCAAGACCCGGAAAAGCGAAGGCGGTTGCGCGCGACTATGCGGGATCACCAGCGCATGCTGGACGGTATGTTCAGCAATATAATGCAAGCTATGTAACCTCGACTGACCAAGGCAGATAATCGTGATGACCTTATCAAATCTCGCGACAGTGGCCTGCTCGATGCCCTCAGGACCCAAAATAGTCTGTTCGGCAAGGTGCGACAAACAGCCGATGCTACTGTGGACTCTCGCTTCTTGGTCAACGCAAGTGATCTCGCAGGCAAAAAGCTCAATAATGCTTTGGGCAATTCCGGAGTAGGCATTGATCTCGACCAATTTGTTTCTAAATGCATATACTTTATGAAATCGGGAGGCTATGTAGCGGGCGAAGAAAACGCACCGACAATACCAGTGGGCGACGATGACGACGATGACCCGGACGGTCTTGACTGGGGATTGTTAGGTCGCAAGGCCTGCTTTCCCTGTAACAAGCGACCACCTACAGCAAGTTTTCTTCTCGGACCACTATCCGTACAGAAACGCGTTCGCGCAACGCAGCGGAAAGCTCGGTCTCAGGCGCAAGCACCCGGTCCCGTCACTCGCCCGCAAGAGATTAAAGAAGGCGACATTCAGCAGAACGAAAACAACAACCTCTCCAACCTTGTCAAGGGCATTCGCAAGCGCCTGATTGACCATACTAGCCAGGGTGCAGATCGTGTAGAGAGCGAACTTAGCGAAATACCAGAGAGCGACTTGGACGAAGAGGCCCAGGCTGCTGCTTTTCGTCGCCACAGAATGGCAATGACGACAGACGGAGAGCCTGCTGTTGACCTACTTGATTTTGCCATCAATCCACATGACTTTGGCCAGACGGTCGAGAACCTGTTCTACATCAGCTTCCTGGTACGAGAGGGCAATGCAAAGATTGTCAAGGATCAGGACGGCCTCCCGCTACTTGGTAAGAGCAGGTGTATTGATTTAGTATTATTTTGCTAACATGCGGATAGTACCGGCAGCCCCCCGTGGCGTCTCAGAGCAACGAGAAGAGAATGTCCAGAAACACCAAGCTGTCTTTAGTCTCGACTACCCTACCTGGCAAATTTTCATTGATGCTTTCAATATCAAAGAGCCACTGATACCGCACCGGGAAAATGAAGAGGCGAATGTCGGCTCAACTGGTTGGTACAACGGGTAGCCGTCATTTTTTGGGGCTACGTGATGGCCTCGATCAGTTTTCTCAGCTTCCTTCCAGTCGCCTCACGTTGCGACATGACGTTGCGCTTTTTTATGCTTTTATGCTGCCTTACGTTCTTACGGTCTCGCCTTTCCCCCAGGCGTGCCTCTCGACTCGCAAGGATCATGCGCGTAACGCGTGATCGTTGGGACAACTGGTCGCCCTCATTTTCATGCTTATCTAGCGGCTTCTCCGGCATTGTCATGTTTCCTAGTTCGAGTACGCGATACCCAAGACTTTTTTTTCGAATCAATTGCATATTACCACAGATCTATGACCTTCACTTGTCCTCTTTGGTACAACCAACGACACACTGGTTTGCAGGCCATGATGGTGACTCACTCAGTACTGAAGCTGATAGTTGAAGGGGGGCTCTGGATATAAGCGGATACAAATTCGCTGGCTGAACCCGTCTCACGTAAGTCATACACATCTTGAGATGAAGCATAGGCTCAGTAACTCATCTTACACGCCATTCCACAGAAGCTTTGGCCATAACTAGCACTCTTAGCCTCGAGTGTGTCGATCGCAATATATACGCGTTCAGACCAAAGAAGTGAATCTACGTAATTGCTTCTGATCTACACAGCCACAAAGGTTTCAGTAATCATCTCCCTGGCAGAGATGTCAACAATCAAGCCAAGCCAAGCTCCAGCTTGGCTTGCCTCAGCTTGATAGGCAAAAGCAAAACTGTCAGCTTGGCTTGGCTTGACTCAGCTTGGCTTGGTGTATCAAGCCAGCTTGATTGATGAGCTTGATGAGCTTGATGGTCATAGCGTCTTTTTCAAAGCTAGTTAAGTAGATAATATTAGCTATAGCTACAGCGACTATTCTTGGTGTTGAGTTTCGCTATCACTATTGATATCGCTATCCCACTTACTCAGCTCATACAACGTCTCTATACTATCATCACTTATAGTGACTTTTGAGCTAATATTATCGTTGCCTAAACCAGCTTTACGCCACCGTCGTACGCACTGTATCGCCGCCAAAAGCTGCGGTTGCATGCCTCGTCGGCGAGGCTCTAGTAGATCCCCAAGCTCACTGAACATGCGCT